AAAAGAAAGATTAATAATCAACTTTTTAGTTTCTACTAGGAACCACCTGCCCTCCAGATTTTACAGAAACAGCTTTCTTATTGCTTTCTTATTTCAAAAGTGTTCTGAACCATGTCATGTGTCCCATGGTAGCCCCAGACTCGTTTTCTATTATTCTTATTGCTATTATTAAAAATGAATTAATCTTCTGCCCTCGGGAACGGCAGATCAGTGTGGCTCTTGCAAACCCTAGCAACGTAAGCAAGGCTGGATTTTAAGGTTTGCAGCCAGAGGTTATGGGCAAAAGGTAGAGAAACTCACTAAAAAAGACAATTTGACTGCTTTAGTTGCTGCCATTCAAAGCCCAATGTACTAATGTAAATTGCCATTGATTTCACTTAATACACCAGTCTGAATCGTGACAGCTGATGGCTTTGATTCATGATCACTGTCAAAGTGAACAGCAGCAGCTGAGGTGGATGCCACTCCCTTTGGTAATAACACACACTTGTCTCGCACAGTAAAGTGCAAATGCAACCAGTTAAAAAGAACTTTTCTAAAGATTGACATGCGTGGACTAGGGGAAAAGGGGAAGAAAAAAAAAAAAGTCACACATTTATTCCCAGTTTGGGGCAAGAGAGATCTATTGGAAGAAGCCTGAAATCTGAAAGCTACCTCTAGACTACTGTGCTGTACACTAACTTATGATTCTTTCTACTAAGAGCAACTTTCCATCCAAAAATATAATAATAATAAACACATAGACATTGGGACAAAGACTAAATTACTTCTGAAGATCTTAGTTCCCACATAAATGAAGAATATATAACAAAATGCTTCTGGAAACAGCTTGACTTGCTCCCTCCCGAGTACTTGGATAATTCAGAACAGAGGAAGGTGTTACATGGGTTCCTATACTTTCATACAAATCTATATCTAGCTGCCTGTAATGAAGACCACTGGAGTCTTCAAATTACTGTGAAAGCAGGTTGCTTTTGATTTTTATGGAGTATGACACATAAAAGCAAGAAACACATACACATCCTGAAAACATATTTTGCTTGGCGACAGCAACAGTTGGAAGGACAGGTCGAAACAGCCAACCTCTTTTAGGTTTCCCCCTGCTCCTTCCAAGAACCAATACCTTTTAACTCAAGGGTTACTTTCCCTAAACTAACATCAATGGTTAATTTAAGACCTATTTAGCTATTTTTCTCTCTCATTATCAATAGATAACATCCACTTTTGGTTGACTTTTAGGTGAGATGACTTACATCATCAGCAAGTTCCAGCAATAACCTGCCTTGAGGTATAAGACAAAACATAGGTGGACTGATCAAAATGGTCCAGACTGAAGCACAAAATAAATTATATCAGAGTGAAAATCCTTTAGCCTGTTGGTTGCTTATACTCAGGAGGAGATGAAGGACTGTGGTAGTAGGGCAACTTTGAGCCAGCTGTGGGAAAAGACTAGTTAAATACCAAAAAGGTGCAGAGGCAAAATGTCTCAATTCTGCTTCCGTTCCCATAGGAATGGGCGTTTATATCTCAGCTGACTGCACAGAAATTCACTGAGATATTTTACATGAAGATTGAACTTCTCGTCAATAAGATCAAGAAAACTGGTTATACAAAGAAGCAAATCTCTCCTGGCATATTATTATGAAATATTTCTGTTCTCACATACTATGAATGTGTTCACACTTGCTTGTGAATTAGATTCAGATAGTTTAATGAACTATTGCATGAAGGAAGCCGAGTTAAAAAAAAATAGTTGCAAGGAGATAAGTATATAACACACATTCTCTGTCACCATCACAATGAAAAGTACCCTCTGAGTTCAGACTTACACAAGACTACCTAGTTATCCTATGGGGTCTACGTTAGTTCATGACCTATGGCATATAGACACAGATGAGCTATTTTTAAGGTGTTAATAATATTTATCATTGAGAAAAGTCCTTAGAGGAAACTTCATTAGAGATCAATTTCAAGAAGCATCTTTGACACAATAAAAAAAAAATTGCTTTTAAAAATCAAGAAGGATGTATGAATGTTGACAATCCAGGTTTTACATAGCAGAAAATGAAAACAAAACAAAACCAAAAACCTAAGAGGATAATTACATAAAACGCTGGAAATATTCAGATTTCCCCACAACATTTCACAGAATGGCTATCGCAAAGGAAGCAGTTTGAATATCATGACAACAACAAATTTCCAAGAGAGACTTAACTGAGGAGCAGATACATTGATAAAGCAAACAGTATCTACTACACTCCCTCTACCCACAGAGCAAGTCATCTCATCACAGAAGTCGATCGGGTTGGTTGAGCACTATTTGCACTCGGTAAATTCATGCTGACTGCTTCCAGAAGGAGTTATTTGAGAGATATGACATAAAAGCAGTATAGTGAAAGCTATAGATTTTGTCTGTGGCTTTCTGTTAAGTCCATGGGATACCATTTCATAGCTTTGTTCAGAGTTGGCATATCATAGTACAGACCATCAGATTAGACTTTTCCTCAAGAAGGCCTCAAAAATATTCTGAAGCATTATGACGAACCTAAAACAGAAATGTTAGGCATCCCATGGAAAAAACAGATCATTAGTTTCAGGTGTGTAAAATAGAGAAAACAAAGATTCACAAAGGTGGCAGAAATTGCCTCAAATTAAATTTGAAAAGGATGCATTTGACTTGAAGTTACTGCAAAAAATCAGGCAAGACAGCAGGCCTCTGCAATTCAGGACTTCCATTCCCCCCTCCCTCCAGTAACTTTATATACTATCTTCTGTCCATAAAAATACATGATTTTTCCTAGGGATGGATTATTACTGCATATAAAAAGAATACAGAGTTTATCATTTATCAACTTTCAGTATCTTAGCTGTAAATTTTAATAAGTGAAAGATATTTGCTTTTAGAAGGAATGAACTAACATGCCTGTAGTAGATTGGGGGTTTTTTGAAGAACTTTTTTTGGAAAATGATAGTAAATCATTTAAATGAGACAAATCCATTTAATGAACTGGGCCCATTTGCTAGTACAACATCTGCCTAGCAATGTTTTTATTTCAGTAGCTTTAGTGATTGTAGCAGAGCTAATTAAAGAAAAAACCCACAAAGAATAGAAAACAGCAGGCTTACAAGCTTGCTGTAAAAAAAAAAAATAATAAAAATAACCTGCACTGGCTAGTACTGATTCCTTAATGGCTCAGTTGCTTCATATTTATTATCAGCTCGCAAGGATATCTCAGATTGTTCTCGCTTGGTTATCCCCACAATAATCCTTTGCATTTCCTTTTACTAAAACAAGGATAATGCCCAGCAGGAGGCTTTAAGTTTTCTAGAAAATACCAGTATGAAACTTCAATGTATTGTTTTGAGATCATTGACTTAAATGTTGTAACTTGAAATTCTGCATTTCATATTCTAATATTGCCTTCTTGTGGGGGTGAAAAAAAAAGCTAACATTTAAAGCAAGCACTAAGCACTGCTGTCACCTTTCTGAACCAAGATTTTATTTGTCCTTACTTTCCTTTGTATAATTTCTCAATAACTGAACTGTCATTTAGTATTTTTATTAATGCATTGCTTTTAAGTCAGTCAATTAGTCTGAAAGCCATTTTATTTTAGAATGATTTACTTTCATTTTTATTGCCCAGTTCTCATCATTGAGAAATACCCATATTAAGTATGAAGCACAATAATAAGCACATGAAGCTGAAGTGTTCTATATTTTAATATCCTGTTTTTAAGGGACAAAACCATTTGCCAAACAGAAGACCAACTTTTATGAAGATGTTTAAAATTTTATCATAAATTAATGAGAAAAAAATTGTGCATAATTTGACTGACAGCAATCGTGCTTTAACCCATTCTCTTTTAAGTAAATTCTAGCTTGGCAGTCCTAGGAAACCTCTCACACAAAAAAGCACAGATGCTCTGCATTGTTCTTGTTCACCAACAAGCAGGAAGCAATAGGTTTGTTACAGCCTGGTGAATTATGTTTAAAACTTGTTTTTCATATGAAAGATAAGAAAGACTGTGTGTATCTGCCAGCTACTCCAGGTCAACTGCATTGCTGGAGTCCTTACACCCAGTTGCTTCATGAACACTCATTTTCATTTATCTAGTCCCTTTCAACATTTGTCTTTCTAGATAATTTTTTTTCCAAGTAGTCATTAGCTCAGAAGAGACAGATTGCACGATGTAAAGCATAAATACTTTTAGCAAAGATATGACTGAAGTTTAGACAAACAGCAGAAGGAAGAGCCTTCGTAGAGTTGGTCAAATTACATTTCTGAAACAGATTTTTCCTCTGCTCTCCATTACAACATTCCCCACCAAAAAAAAAAAAAGCACGATGGACAAGAAGAGGAGGACACATTTTGAAACTGGCACAGGAGAGCTCAGGTGCTTGCTTGCGTCAATGTGGCACCTGTTGGTTTAGTTCCCTGCTAACAAAATTCTTCATCAATCTTTTTTTTCTCCTAGACCTTCCAAGCAGCATCTCCTCACTGAAGATTTCAGAACACAATCTGAAATCTACATATAAAAATGCAGCATACAATATTAATCAAAGTGCATTTACTACAGTGAAGTGAAAATTTGTTCTGTGCTTTTAAGACGACAACCAAAACCAAGACAAGCAGAAAGTCTTTGGATTGCTTTTGGCAACTTGAATACTTGAGAGCATCTTGATTATTTTTGAGTAGATAATTTGTTAAAGATGGAATGTGCTTCATGAAAGGCGAAAGAAAAAGAAAAGAACAGCCCAATCAAAACTAAGGAGCATATTTCTTTCAACCCAAAAGCTTTTATCACACACCTGTGCTTTTATAAACAGTGTCAGCAAAACAAACTTTGCCAATATGAATTTCTTATAAATATGTATTGCTCATTTCTGAATTTTTATTTTATATCTGAATGTAATTTAACCCTACACACACATCAAGCAACAGAGAGCACATAATCACCAACACCTTAGTGGCACAAAAGCAATTCAAACATCTGCTGACCTTTGGGGAGAGGCTGGCTGCAGTTTTCTTGTGTCAGGATTTCAGACAGGAATACGGTAATCGTGGAAAGCACCTAAAGTATTATATGAAATTACACGTTTAGCATGTTAATCCATAAATAAAATAAAGGTAAGATATAAAAAGACAGCTATTAATAGCAATATCTTCTCTCTGAAGATATCCAACACATCCTAATTAACTTTGATGATTTATTGACCTATTTTTATAGATGTAGTAGCTGAGTGAACAAGCGAAGGCTGAGCTCAAGATAAGTAGCTCAAGGACACGCAGGACCCCGTAGTAGGCCAGAGTCAAACATTCATCTCCTTACTCCCCGCTTCATTCCTTAAGCAGATTATTTTCTGAATATGCAGCATTAAGACAAGTCTTCCTCTTGTCTTCCACTTCAAACACTCATGAATATTTTGATATATGAGAAATTTGAGGTACAATACAGATAAGCTCTTACCACATTCCAAAATTGAGGAATTGCCCACAATCAGTGTTGTCCCCTTCATATAAGAACTTCTAGGACAGCTGTTTCTCCCTCTGTGATCTGATTAGCAATACTGAGGTACAAAGGACATGTGCTGCAAGATGAACACTGGGGGGAGAAGTTATATATTTGATATTGTATTACATTATACTTTTTATTATGTGACTATATACATTATATATCTTGTAGTATCTATAAATTATATGTATTTTTATATAGAAAGATCTTCATCAACAAGTATATTCATGAGATGGTTCCTTCAAATTTCAAACTAAGCAGCAAATAGTATATTCTAAATTATTCTGTAAAATCACTGTAAATTAATTCAAGCTAGAAGGGTCATTCCACGTGTATCAAAAATATGACTTTTTAGTCTATTGCATCACAAGATAATTCAGGGTTGTAGGGCAATGATTAAGTGACAAAAGGTTTCAGTTAATTAATTGTGTTTTTTTAAAAAGGTTCACAAGGGAAAGGGCAGGAGAGATTAATTGATTTATTATACAACAATGCTGCTACTGCTAATTAAATCTTTCATTAACATCTTATGAGAATGGGAGATACCCATCTCTTCCTTTTATCTCTTGTATTCATTGATAAAAGTAGCAGTATAAATTTTTTTCTGTGTTCTTCTGTTCCTAATAGTTACAAAAGCCTAGTAGACCCATTCTGCTCTCCTTTCATCTTACTAAAAATATGAAGATATGGACAAAATGGAGCAATTTATAAAAAAAATTACTCCCTCCTCCTTTGAAAGGAAAACATATTTCCAGTTATGTAGACATTTCCACCAATTCAGTGAGGACTCCAAGATTTCTGGCTCTCCTTTTATCCTGATTTCTACTGTGACTGCACCTCATCTCTATCTCCTGATCATAGCTGTCATCTTTTCCAACTCACCACTTGATAGCATTGAACATGAGAATCCATCCAAATCAGATCGCTGGGTGTGGCAGACACTGTTAACCAAAAGGATAGCTATGAAGTGGAGAAAAAAAAGAGCAAGGAGAGCTCTAGGAATCTGTTTTCCATGTTTTGGTAAACAAATCCTTTGGAAACTATTTACCCGTGTTAAATCACTTTTTCCGTTGAGACGACCTCACCTTTTGCTCCCTGAATTCTCAGGGCTGTGGCAGTGCCTCAGGAAGCATCCTCACACTAGGGTCTGTCACAGTTCTTCAGTATCAATCTAATTATCCCCCAATTTAATTTGCACTATTAGTTAAGCTACTGTTTTATAAAGCCAGGCAAATGTCAGAAAAGTAAACTGTCACAAGAACTTGGAAAAACAATGAACAAAGTGTATTTCAGATGGTAGATAATCTGATAATATCTCACAACGGCCTAGAAAAATTAGATTCCTGTCTGTACTTGTAGACACTAACCTAACAACTAGAACACAAAACCCAGAAGTAATAGAAAGATGTCAAATAATGGCTTAGGTTAGTGAGATTAAAGGAGAAAGGATGTTAAAACTGCTAGAAATAACAGTACAAATGCCCATTTCAAAATGGAACGCCCTAAGTTATCAGCTTAGAAGAATGATCTTTGCCTTGCTAGTAGCATCTCAAGAAAGGCCCAAGTATCTTTACTTCAATAATAATAAAATAAAATTCTACTCTTCATTTTAAAATAACTGTCTTCAGCTGGAAGGATGATTTTCTGAACAAGTAAGATTTCCCAAATAAATGTACAGATACACTTAGATATTTGTTGTTTACAGATACATAAAAGTACAAGAAATAAACCAGAAAACGATATGCATTCTCAGAAATGTATGTCTAGAATTTACCAAAATAAACTTCATGGAAATTAAATACCTGTCATTTTTATATAGTACGTGGAAAAGTAAAAAAATGTTAAGAATTATTGTTAAAACAGGCTCCAGAGATGGAGGAAATAGAGACTTGTTACACTCTCATTGTTAAAGCAAGAGCACAAACTAAGAAGTGCTTTGAACAGGATTATTATTTCTTGAAATATTTTCACTTCACCAAATACATATATTTCATACACAGAAACCTCTAAGTATTTCATGTTTTCTCCTAGGTGAGCCTTGGAGAGAAAGCTAATCTTTGCTGATTTCAAATACAAGAGTCTTCCAAGACTTGGGTCAGCTTCAGAAGGAAAACCGTATCTTCAATGAAAAAAAAAAAAAATCAACTTTTTTCTTTAAAAAAAAATTCATAGCATTTACTGAACATATTACTAGATACAAGCATCCAATCAATCAAGTCAACGTAAAATGAAAAAAAACCATTTAGATAAGATTTATAAAACACTTACTAAATTGGCAAGCTTTATACGTCCTAGTAAAGTCGGGATTTCTCCCATTAAAATTAAAGCTTTCATATTTGCACTTCACTGTATCATCATTACAAAACAGGCACGCACAACTTCAATAACAAAGGGAATTTATGTTTTTCAAGAACTTACACCTGAACATTTTATTCAAGCTGTTTTATTACTGATTACCATCTAGTTCGACTACTGAAGTGTTCACAGAAATCTCTGCATAAAAAAGGATGACATAAATCCTTTTCTGGTGTGAATATATACTACAAATATATAACCCATGCAGAACAAGAGCTGGTGTTTAAAATTTCACTGCATTTATTAACAAGAATATTAAGACAAAATAAAACCTGGCTCAGAGACAGGTGATATACCAAAATATAACTATATTATAATCTTAAATAGATCCAATACCAAAATTACAAGGCACCAGTATTACTGCAGTATTGCTTACATCCACAATACCAGCCTAAGCTCATATGCCCTTACGCTGCTCTCTTATTTCTATGCTATCCCTTTCTCCTGTCCCTAAACTGGGCTGGGACCATTTGCACAGATAATCAGCTCCTGTGACAAAGGAGGAACAGAGCTAGAGCTGGGCCATGCTCTTCTCATTTTCTCCTCTTTGTCTTTGAACACGCTGGTATAGGGCTAATAAGCGTGAGTGAATGGGCATACAAAGCACTAAACGCTTTTTGTTTGGGGTTTTGTGATTGGTTGGTTGGGTTTTTTTATTTTGGTTTGGTTTTTTTGTTTTAATCCTTCCATACCATCTCCAAGTTGGTACCATCTACCAACTCTTACCATCACCAAGTTTTTTCTCCCAGGAAATTAACACTATGTAGTAGTGAAAGATCATCCTTGACACATAGTACAGAGCCCTAGAACTGCATCAAAGGCACAGTGGCTGCAGGATACCCATTTTCAGATCACAGATTTATGTGTAAATACACTACGGAAGCAAGTGGGGAAAAAATATGACTGAATGCTGAGAATTTTTTTTCATCAGCATGCAGTATAAATGGATAGTTTACAGTGAGACAATGAAACATATAGATAAACAGATAGACGCAGCCTCAGGGCTATATTCTGAGTTAGAGAACATTTAGATTAGAATATCTTTTCTGCAGAGGCATCTGTGGAATTCCAGCCCTCCTACATACCTATGCTAATTTTACTTTCCTAATCCCCCCAGGACAGTTAAATCATCTTTTTTTTTTTTTTTTCCTTCTCTCTTCTACAGGGAAAAGGGCTGTTCTAAGTTGCTGATCATTTGGATCTCTCAGAAAATTAATCAGTAGTCCAAAAGAAATTAGGTGGCTATTGGTGAGCATAACACATAATCACTGCAGTATTTTTACTGAAAATTAAATCGTCTCCTCCCTAGGGAGAGAGACCTCACTTAAACATTTTCTCCAGAAGCACAAAGTACTCCAGAATATGGCAGAATCCTCAAGGTTGTTCCCAGCGATTTTGGATAATAGACAAACAACACCAAAACCCTAAAGAATTGCTTGGTCCATTCTGTTCAGACTGAGTATCAACAGGCATACGTAGATTAATTTTATTTAGATTTGGCTCCAAAAGGCACTTTTCATGATAGGCTAATCCAAATGTTTTTACAAAAAGTGTAATGTAGTTGGCTTTTCTAACTGCAGAAATACTTTTGCTTGCATATATTGAAGCTGATTGGCAATTGGCAGACAGAGAAGAGGGAAATGAGGAAACAGACCTTTTAGTGGCTGTGAAGCCCACCTACATTGCTTTGCCAGTTTGCTCCTGCAAAAAAAAGAGCTGCCAGCACTTCAGAGTGGCTGCAGAGGCACAAAGACCTGCCCAGAGGCCTGTGGATTCCTGATAAATCCCTTCCTTGCAGCTACTAGAAAAAGACACAAGAAAATCCCTCTGGAAGGAGGGAAAAAACCCAACCCAAACCAGCAAACCCAGTCATTCTACAACATTTGAACAACTTTTTGATACATAAAACATCCCTAAATAGTCTCATTAACATAAAGGTAGACCCTGTCCTGCCATTATTCATAACTCGTTAAGCTGGCTCTTTTCTAAGCGACAAACCAGTATGAGTTGCTGATATCATCAATTCTCTACCCTGTAACTCCAGTCTTCTTTTAATGCTTCTGTACCAGAGTTACTTAAAAACAGCATTATGTGGTCATGCTGAGTAATTAAAGCTGTTAGATTCATAACTAATATAATTTGTTCTTATTTCCTCTGCTCCTATTCTCTCCTTGTATCCCGGTGAGCTTGAAATAATCAGTCCCTGTTCAGAAAGCATCATAACATAAAATAAACTAGCTAAAGTACTAGCAATAATTTCCATTTATGGAAAAAGTTAATGGTAGTTGTAAATGCACCTATTAAGTGATTACATTCCTAATAAACTTGTCTTTATTATGCTGTGTAAATACATAGGACTGGTAGGACATCGAGCTTTTATGTTACATAGCTGATGTTTAATCTTGCTAAAAATAGAGAGTAAAGTGAATATTCCATACTAAAATTTACTGCGATGTATTAGCTACAGACCTTGTTTCCTTGGACATCAAGAATTTTGAAACTACTAACTAAAGATCAGATGCTAAAATTCCCTTCTATTCTTAACATTAGCTCTCAGGTTACAAACATACTGGTTGCTTTTTTAGCAGTCCCATTCCCAAACGTCTTATATGTCTTTCTTATGTCTTCTGATTTTTTTTTTTTATATATACACACATACATTTTTGTATGTGTATATATTTTTATATACAAATGCATACATTCTGAAATGCACGAAGAGCCATGGCTCTTTTTACAGCACCTTTCGGACCCTATTGTGTTTAAGTGTATCAATACCTGTGTGTATATATTATAAATAAATAGATATACATCTGTATAGTGGGCCCACTGAGTAATTTTCATTCCCCAAGTTCTTCCATTAAAATAATGAGAAACTAATTCTAGTTCCTCCACTTCAAGTGATTACATTGCCATCACAATTTCACAAATACAAATATAACCTTATTAGCAAGCACAGGTGTGCACTGTATCTCAACCACACAAATGTCTGTCCATCTTTTAAGAACCTTTTGTTTCTATTGTTCCCCAACTTCTGTCACATAATGAACAACTGGATATAGTTATTTCATTTGCACTTGATTTTTTACTTATATATATATATTTTACTTATATATATATATAACTTCGTTGTTAAATTAAATTACATATTCCCTTGTTGCCTGTACCATCTTGTGTTCATAGCTTAAGCATCCAGTGGTAATGTGTCAAAAAATTAAAGTAAGGTATACAAGAATGTGCAATTTTCTGGAGTGAGAACAGAGAAATGCTATTATTCAGAATCCTACAGCTAAAAGACACCTTTGGTCTGAAATGGTGTGCAGCTATGTCAGTCCAAAGCTAAACAGATTGCTTTAAGTCACTGGTGGAGATGACAGTCAGTTTGTGACTCTCCTATTTTCCATTGTGTGGATCTTAACATACACGTACTGAAACATATCCCTTCACTGGCTGATACCTTAGGAGGGAAGAGCGGCAGGGGTACCTGTGACAGGAGTCTAACATTATATGCCTAGTTTTACGAGCTCACTTGCTGAGTACGTCTGATTTCCTGCTTACAAAATGTTATTCTTTTGTAATATTCTAGAATTATGGTTAACACAAACAGTACATGGAAGAAAAGGATGTCATTTAATACTAACCCATCAGCCTTGCTCTGTTGTGCCCTATGGCCCTTGTCTCACTGGCAGGTCCAAAAGTCTATGTATTTTTTGTCACATATAATTTTACAGATATTGAACAAGTTACATCTCTTATTCCCCTTAGAAATAAAGATGAAAAAGGATGTACTATAGAAACATGTAGGTGATGAGTATCTTCAAAATTTAGTGAAATATTCATTTCATTAGTCATTGATGTGATCTGAGCAAGCAAAATGGACTTCTCTTTTCTTTAATGGATTCAGAGATAGTACATTTTGTCAAGCTGTTAATTAGATCTTAGGAGACAGGCAACTCATTAAAGCTTTGTGTGTTCTAAATATTACATTTTTATAAAAGGCTATTTACATATATTGCTTTCACAATTAAATTCTAATGGAAGTACAATTCTAAATGCAAAATATTCAGAGTTTATGTCTGCTAAGTATTAGTGCTCTTGTGACAGTGCTAGGATTCAGAGGAACTCTGTCTTGTTTTCTTTCTCTCAAGTTTTAGAGTCTTTATCCTTGAAGATTGTCTTTGAGTAGTTAATTAGTTTTGTCAGTCAACTGCCTCAAATTGGATTACCAACTTTTTTTTTTTTTTCATTTTAATTTTAAATCTCAGATCCTTCTGACTGAAATGTTGGGGAAAGGACACACTAAAAGCTTAGAGTTAGCTGTGGGCATATAAATACAATAAAATTAGAGCACAGAAAAGATTTCCAGGGTGTCTTTTGATGCGCATATCTGAACAATATTAAAGGATCAAAGCTCTGTCTATCATTCCATTCCATATCTTTTTTACCCATTTAAGATTAAATACTTCATCATTCTCGGAATACACTAGAGAGCCACATTGAAGTTTCTCATTAATTGTATTATTAAAAGGTTTCTGAAGAATTTGTTGAGATATTTGATAAAACATAATAAATCTCTTTGGAAAGTTAGGGCAAGTTGATAAAAAATATTTATAAAATATCAAAATGAACATGAATATATTCAAGTGATATTAATTTTAAAAAGAAATCGGTAAAATTGTAGTATTACATCTGTTGCCAAAAATAGTGATTTGTCAGCCAGCTACATTTGTTTCTCTTCTTTCAAAAAGTTACATTCTTTACAGATCTGTTTGGTAAAGTGATACACATAAGCCAATATACTCCTACAAGAAACTTTCAGATGTAAAAATTCCTAGTATATTTTATAACTGAAGTCTTCAGTGATCACTATTTTCAAATCCATTGATCTTTTTCAGAAGAGCTTATCTCTACCTTGAATCATTGCTTCTTAATTTCTTTTTTAAAAAAACAATACTTAAAAACACCCCACAAAACTATTTTTTTTCTTTTAAAGAATCAACACATGACAGATTAAATCCTGAGATACAAATGTGATGGATGCTTACCCTCAAAGATCACTTCGAAATGGACAGAATCTCACATTTTAAATACAAGCCTAACACAAGCCTGTGTATTGCAAATCAGACAAAAGAATACCAACTACTCTTTTTTTAATAAGTATATTTTTAAAATCTTAAGCAAAATTCTTGATTTCTTTGCCTCAATTTATCCATCCACAAGTGCAGAGGCTTCCATATTTTCCAGGGCTTTGGTAAGGTTTCTAGAAAAAAACCCACACACCAAAACCACCCTGCCCCTTCCTCCATAAACCTATTCAGAGATATATTTTCTTTTCTGTTGGTATACAGCTGCTAAATAGTAATAAATTTTATGTACTTTAAATATCTATGTCCTGCGGTAAAGACAGCAGTGAAATTTGAAGATTTTTTTTTAACTTGTTTATGCTTTCACGTAAGGTTGAAATAAAACAACTAAAATAAAATAATAAAAAAAAAAAAAAATCAACCCACAAAGAAAAAAAGAGTTGGGAGCCTCTTCATTAGCTCTCAGCACCCATGACACTGTTTAAGCTTTCTTAAGCTCACTTTTCAAGAGCTCATGGGTATCTAACTCATTTCAATGGGAATAGCCTTTCTGAATGCTCCAGTTGGGACCAGATGGCAAGTTATTTAGAAATATTTAACTGGTAAATGACATAAGCATTAAAACCTATAACAGTCTGAAAATGCTTTGAATTATACCAGAGCAAAAACTTACCCTAATTGTTTTCTGTTAATAACCTAGTCTGAAAGAATACTATTGAAAAACTGGCTTATCCTTTTAGGTTAGTGACAGATTTATCACTTCCAGTTTCTCCGTCATTTGAGTAGTAACTTGCAAGAGTTTAAAATATTTTCTCTAGTGAAGAATTTTCTTATGCTATTAATCATAAGAAATCTAGAAGTATATAAACCAATGAGTTTCATGGCATAAAAAAAATGTTCTTACCTGTGCTGTTATTGAACGTTTTCAGTTTAGCAATACATCCACCTTTCAGGAACCACAGGAAAATCTACACAATAGAATAACGACAAAGATATTGGTTTGCAGTAAAATACTTAATTTCAGGAGAAGGCTGTTTCTTGCCTTCCATAAGAAAGCTGAATCTGTTTTGGAAGTAACACCAACACAATTGTCTGAAGAGGAAACAAAACCATTTGAAAACTCCTTATCTTACGGTCTATAACTCAAAGGAACTCCGCTGAAGTTCAGATTTCCCCATAGCATGTCATTCGGGGAATTCAGTAAAACTTCCCTGATGTAATTTGGATTGTGGTGGAAGGTAACGCTTACTAGACGTGTTTGTCTCCATTAACCTCAGCTGAAATGCTGAGTGAAATGCATTGTAACATTGCTGAGCAGAAATATTCACAGGAAAGACATCAAGAAAATTCTTTTTGCCCTGAGTTTCAATAGCCCAAATCTTAATCAATTCATCACTATTAATTCTTCAATCTGTTCAAGTACTTAAAGTCTACGTTGAACCATAGGGCTCAGGACTGGCTGCCCTTCTGCAGCAGAGCACATCTTTCAGCAGCTGGTGATGCAGAGGCATCTGCCTTTGCTCTGCCTTTCACATCTGGACCAGACCCATCACGGGGCAATGTCTCATGGGTGCTTGTTGCATCTAAAGGCAGTGGTAGCAAACTGAACGTCTGAACACGTGAAGCTGACAGCACAGGTGTGGCATGAGCAGCTGCGGACTGGTCACTGTGTGGGAAACAACTGGTCACCAGCTCAGTAACTGGGCTTGCCTGCCCTTTGGCAAATGTACCTAAAGGCATCTGTAATCATGAGTAACAGTATCTTTGAACACTGACAGCTCCAAAATAGACACTTATTTCCATATAACAGCCACTTACACTTCATGTGAAAATTCTCCGTGATAACTGAAACCCATATTCTCCCAAACCATTTGTTTTCCAAATATTAGAATGGGCTTGATTAAACTGTTTGCTTTGCCTCACATTTTCCATATAGTTTTACAAGTATGACAAAACGTAACAGGGGTTTCTATTTCCCTATTTTCTTTTTTCTTTTTTCCTTTTTCCCCTGGGCTGGTGTGACCAACAACTGCTGTTTATCTTGAAATCATAATTTATTCAGGAAAGGATAGTGGTCAGGAAAATAAAAGGAACATATTACCCTGAGTCCAATGTTAAAATGCAAGTGCTTCTCACAAACACCGATTCCCTCTCTGACTTTTCACACTGTCAATCTTTCCTCCGTTACATCCTTACTTTCCCACTTGGAAAGAAATGCAAGCAATTGCGAAAACATTCTCCTCTCAAGAGGAGAGGCGTGAACAGAAGTGAGTTTTGGCAAAATTACCCAGGCCTTTCTCACTGCTTTCCCCCTCCCCAAGGTCCCTCCTGAAATCCCCATGCAAATTTCACTCTTTGGGCACTTTCTTTTCCTAGTTTTAGTGCTGCTAATCATGTTGTTAATATTCAGCCTGGGGAAAACCCAGGCACAGCAGGGAGAACTTATCCTCTAACCTTCCTTTGCTTTCATGTTGCACAACAGAAGTTTCATTTTTACTTATCAAAATTCATTAAAGCGTGTACAATTTCATTGTGTAATTTATGTATAATACATTTTATCACAGAGCATCTTTCTTTAAATAAAAGGCTTTCCGGGGAATATTTATCCGTAACTATCCCCCTTTTTGGCCTGTACCATGTCTAGTAACACACAAAAACTTTGTAAGCTGCAGTGCATAATGTATCTAGAAACCTGTAGATGAAAATCATTGAGCTGACATGTTTTCAAAGGAAAATATTGCATTTCCTACTTCCTCTCAGCCCTTTCCTCCATGCAGCAGTTTTAAACAAAGAGAAATCAAGCTATGAAAGGCAGTAAAGAAGGCTCTGAGAAACAATTGTCAATGAAATCAGGGTAGCAATAACTGCAGTGATTCTATTATCACAACATTATAGCATAATTTATAGGTCTCTTGCACAATACTGCTACTTACTTTTCTGGACATCAAAAATAAGAACATCTTAATAGATACTAGTAAGCATAACCCGCACAATATAATTTTTATTCATATTTTTTGTATGCATGTTCTATTTAAATAAGTTCATACCAGGGAACTAGGTAAACACTAAGCTGATGAGAGCCATAAATGTGTCAAGGATCAAAATAAATTTAAAGATTCATTTTCTTGTAGGAAGATCTCTACTGGATTTAAACGCTCTACAAATATTGACAGAATGTGATACTAGATCCCAATCACAGAACAATCACTAGATCTAAGAAAGAAAATGAGAGTAGCTTAACAGCTGAAGAAATAAGGCATTTCCATGCAGAGATGCAACCGGTAGAAATATTTCTGGTTTATGTTTAAAGCTATTTTTACAATTTTAAAAAAGTAAGGACATTATAGAAATTTCTAAGATCTTACAAAATAATGTGTAGAAGTCATTGATTCATACTATGAATTAACAGAAAGAAATAAAACATTCACTGATTGCTTATTACATTTTCTAAATGTATTAAACCTATGCTTAATCCTCAGATTTTACATGCAAATATTTCTTTCTTAAAATCTCAGTAGTCCTCATAGATTAAAGACTATGTAAATAAGTATGAAAGCCCATAAAGTTGCTAATTTTATTTCTTCTTTCTTATCAGCTAAGCTCATACTATCAGTTTTAAAAAGCATCACTGTTTCAGCAGCAGTAATATGTATTTATTTTTTTCGCGACTAAAGTTTACAGTAAAGTGCACAATGTTTCAACCTAAAAATGTGCCTGTAAACCAAAGGTAAAGATACAGGGTAAGTAGAGTGTGGAAAGCAGTTCAGGATTTTCCAAGGGCAGCACATATTGGGTGTGTCATCCTTCCCAGACCTCACCTATTGAACATATTATTTTTGAACTCATCTACCAGGTGTATCACTCCTTGCTCAACCAGGAATGCTCCTTAACAATGTCCTCCATCCCTATAAACATGTATCAATACTTACATAACAGAGAGGTCTACAGAAAGCTCAGTTCCTTGATTTTAATGTTATTCTGGCTTTCCAAGTCTTTCTATTTATGTTGTATTTAATATCTATTCTTGTAAAGGCAGGTTTTCCAAGCATCTTAGTTGCTTTCCTCCTCAGCTTGTTACTCTTCTCATCTTTACACTCTGTTCTCCAACACTTCCTGTCATGTACTCAACAGCCAAAGAATTATTTTCCTTTATTTTAAAAATAGGAATGAGCTATTGAGTAGAAGAAAAATATCCAGAGTATTTCAAATATGTTTTTCTCCTTTACTTACCACCAAATGATATCAGACAAGCAACCCAAAATCATTTGTGAACTAAATCAAAAGTTCAAGGTGGCTTGACAAAAAAAAGATTCCCAGCAGATCAAAAAATATAGGTGATTAGATATGATTTACAACCCATAAAATCCTGTACAGAACTCAATATTCTATATTTTGGACACATTCACTATATTTTATGTCTCTCAAAATAACCTCTACCACAACATGAAGATCAGGATAAAGTCATTCTAGCTGTGGGTTCAAGTTATTTAGGTAGATCAATAATTTAAAGTAATTTATCTAATGGCTAAAATCCAGAGGAACTGCTCTTAAGAAGAATTATGAGTTATAACTGAAATTATGTGATGCAGTTAGTGGTATTACTCACAAAATTATCTTACCTGTTAAACTCACCAAATACTTCCACAGGTGATAGTGCATAATTTTGAAAGGAACCTGACATAGATTCTGGATAAACAATGGAGACTGTCAAACTGGGAGAGAGAGAATGAAAATACACAAGCTTAAGACCGGACATTAAAAGTAGCTGTTGATACTTTTCCACCTCTCCTTTTTCCAAGGTGTCATCAGTGAATACATTAACAACACAATAATTTTCAGCCTTACAGAATAGCCCTGACCATTTCTAACTTCCTTTTGAAAATGCAGTTTGATTGAGGACATAAAGGAATTAATAAACTAGAGTTCTTAAAGGAAATGCAGGGAGAAAACCCGATTGGGAAAAGCTATCCAAACTATATCAGACAACTATTTCTTTTAACTACCACCACAAGGTTTTCAATATTTTGAGAATTTACATGCCTTAAGAGACTTTGCTGTGCATTTCTGCAAATAGTAATTAATTATTTTTTTTTACAATAAGCCTGTTGTACATTTAAAGAAGTCTATGAATACAACAAAGATTCAACTCTTTTCTAGGCTCCTGTTCATGTAGACTTGCCAGATACAAAAAAGTTGGATTTTCTGATCTAAGTATCAAAATCAGAAATAAAAGTTAATCATCTTAATCACCACCTTCTCCTGGAACAAGTTACAAAATCCACTTTCCTCACTCACAGCCTAAGAGCATGTGCCATACTGATAGATACCGAAGAGCTCTGTGCTTGCATAATCACGGCTCTGAATCCAAGTTATCAACTCACATTTGATGTTGCTCTTGTGGTCACACAGCTTCTGGTTATTTTGAACAACGAGCAGATCAAGCTACCTATAAATGACACGTGGTGAGAAATAAAGACTTAGTATATTATTAAATATCTGTATTCGGCACTGTGACAACAGGACCAGTGGCTTGCGTAAACCAAATGGCTCATCCCAATCCTAAATCTAAGATATGAAGTAGCAAAGGAACATCTTATTCCTATGTAATTCATGTTTTCTGCCTTGTTATTCATACATAACTTTCTGGAAATAATTTTCAGAAATAATAGGTAGTTTCTGCTTTCATTTTTACTGCTGAATCAGCATGGCTTTTGAGAATTCAAATTAACTTACACAGGAAGGACTGCTGATCAAAGCTTTTATGGCTTCTTATGCCCCAACAGCAAATCTTGTCCAGCCGGTCTTTGGTCAGCAGTGGCAAGCCAAAACTGAGGTTTCTCAATTCAGGTTGCTCCTGCACTTGAGTGCATGATCTTTGAGTGGTTCCCTGTCTTCCTTGTTCACTTATTTGGTGTTACTGCTGTTAAATCAGCTAAAGCGCACACCACTTTAGTACTTTTTACATGCTTTGGGACTCTGGTGGTTCAGAATACATGAAAGTTTTCCCTCTGAAATAGGCTGGCTACAAGTTTATCTCGTTTTTTCAACTTCCCCATCACAGCTAAGAAAACAGCCCCATCTTCTCCAACTGTAATTTATCAACTGGCAAGGAAGTGTGTCTTGCATTGGAATCTGATGCCCTGCAAAAACAAATCTGAAAGAAGATGTCAGAGATGGCATATCCCAGAAAACACAAGGAAAGAAATTGGAACTGTTTCAGTTTCAGAATGGAAACATCTCCTTTTTTCCTCAGAGCTTTATATTTCATATGAAGACAAGAAATAAATTTAGAGGAACAGGGACTAAAGGAAACTTTCCCAAAGAATGTACACCTGAGAAAGGAAACAGACCCACATTGTCCAGAAATACTGCTAAATAATTAATCAAGTTAAGAAAAGTTACACCTGAACTCCTTGTCATTCTATTCAGTAACAACCCTAAGAAGGATTGTCCATTTCCCAAGTATTTACATGAGAGATACTATATAATTTAACACATGTAAAAAACATATACTCATTTTTCAGGAATAAATGTTAGAAAATTAACTTCTCATACATCTTGTCATTACACAATAGCCTAAACTCTGAAAATTGTTGTGCCTTTGAGGGGTATAATATATCATGTTCTTCAGTTACTGGAGAGATTACTAATCTCCAGTTGAATGTTTCCAACTCTAATTTTCACATCAAAGGCAGTATCTACATGCATTGCAATCACCCTGGCATAGTATAAATTAATTGTTGCTTATCAAATACTTTAGTATAAAGTTTCTGTAACATTTGGACATGATAAAAAAATAGATTTAAATTATCATCTGGACACTTAACCACAAAGCTTCTGAGAATGTAACTTTGGGTAATTTTTTACCCTGTGTAGACTTATATTCTTGCAAAAAAAAAAAGAAATATGCAAATAAATCTGATACTTTTCAGATTCAAATACTGAATTCATCAGAAAAAGAGTATTTTTTAAAAGTACTTGTGAAACTGAATCAGCAATATCTTGACTAGAATAGTAACTAGTGCTACATTTCCACAAACTTCTACAGTTTCTTTTCACTTCAAATGCTGCCATCCAAACACTTAGCAACTAACGAGAAGTTAAGAGCCATTGAAGCATGTATTTTTGTTCAGTAAACAGATATTCTTTTTTTTTTAGAACACGATCGTAGCACTTTTCTGTTAAATCATGCAACAACATTGAATGAGAGACCTAATAAAAACAACAAAATAGAAGCCTTAGCTTTGTGCTGCAGCACATGATCATTAATGCTTAGTTTGTTCTCTACTATCTGTTCCTCCTGAGAGTTTCCTTCACACAGAGGCGTAGAGCAACAAAAATATTTAAATTTCCTTCTTTACTCAAAAATATATGGTAAACAAAGACACAAAAAACATTGGTGTACACTGCTGAAGAGAAATCAGCTCTGGACTATTACAGTCTTGACTTGTTACATTTGTTGAATATTTTTAATAGCATTCATCATTCCTTCTAAATTTTTTACTTTACTTTTGCTTCAAAAAGTAAAGTAAATATTTCACAAGCAAACTTAATTGCCTATATTAGCTATGCAATCCTGCAAACTTACACAATGATTTCTAACTGTTTAAAGAAGGATATATTTAATGATGCTTTATTTTTTGCGTTAACGATCTAAATCTGATCTGTAAACTGTCTCATATGCAGAGAACATACAGGAAATACAGTTTACATCACTGAATTTAATGTTTTTGTACAATATAAAGCTTTGACTCATCATTTTGGGACTGAATTACTAGGATAAGTGCTAAATCCTGATCCAATATAAATATATGTAATATAAAACATAAGCTGCTACAATGACATTAATTGTTTTATTCCTAATAAGCACAAATTTTAAGGTGTATATATATTCATACACACACTACATTCACATGTTTTTACACTATATTCCTGAGTTAATTTAATTTTCATTTCTTGTTACTGACATTTATAATGTTAATATTTGTATGGACTCTGGCACCCTTAGTCCAGGAATAAATCCTATTGACTGGGAAAGAAGCTTAAATAAAGGACTGTAGGGTTTTTTCAGAGCAGCCATAAAATGAGTCATAAACATTTGCCATCTTAAAGATGATTGCTCTCTAGGTCTTTTTTCTGGGTGAGGAGTGACACAGTTGAAGCTGAAGATGCAAATGAAATATGAAACATCTTAATCTGCTTTTCAGACTAATAATTACTTCAGACTAAATGTCTTTTGAGCCATGTGTGGGTATTCTGGTGAAGTTCCACGGCTAACGGTAACAGGTCTCAGGGTAGTTGATTCACTGGTTACTTCTGAGAATGAGGCACATGACACAAGCATGGAAGAATCCAAATTGTGGAGCTGACATTTTTTCAAGCTATGCAATATCTATATATAAGAGTATACTAAAACTAGAGGAATTTAAAAATCCTTGCTTTGTGATAAATTATGCCTGCTTACTTTTTAAGTTGTGCTTGATGTCACTTATACCACTGAAGTGTCATTGAGAAAAATTTTTCCTTATTTTTCTCCATCCCATTCAGGTCAGTTATCTATAAACTTAATACTTTAACTAGATGGACAGCAAAACTAGCACCCCAAGCCAAGGTGATTTCACAGCTTCTATCAGCAAATTAAAGCCGTACAACAGTAATCCAGGTATTTGCAATTTAAAATACTGCTGTAGGGAGGGTGAAAAAATTCTTTAATTTTGTGCTTCCACTCTGGGTTACTTGTGTCATCTTACATCACATCACATACAACACAGTGTAACATAATTTGGCAGAAGCTGACCTTAAGTAACCCAAAGGAGGAAGTAAATCTGACTTTTGCCCTGAGGGTGGGAATCAAAGTGGTCATTCTAGGACATTCACACAGGATCACAGAATGGTTGAGGCTGGAAGGGACCTCTGGAGGTCATCTGTCCAACCCCCCTGCTCAAACGGGATCACTCCAGAACAAGCTGTCCAGGACCACATCCAGACAGCTTTTGGATATATCCAAACAAGGAGATTCCACAACCTCTCTGGGCAACCCGTGCCAATGCTCAGTCACCCTCACGGTGAAAAAGCGTTTCCTGATGTTTGGAAGGAACCTGCTGTGTCTCAGTTTGTGCCCATTAGCTCTTGCCCTGTCACTGGGCACTGCTAGAAAAACCTTGGCTCCATCCTCTTTGCACCCCTCCCTTTAGGTATTTGAACACATTGATGAGATTCCCCCTAAGCCTTCTCTTCTCCTGGTTAAACAGTCCAAGCTCTCTCAGCCCCTTACTCACCTTAATGGTCCTTTGCTGGGCTCTCTCTAGTATGCCTGCTTCTTTTTTGTATGTTTGAGTATTACTGGCATGAACTTTACATTTATACTCCATACACAGATCAGAAGGTTTATTCCCTGTGTCACATTCCATGTACTCATTTAATCTGCAGCTTCAAAAAACTGAAGTCAGTGACATCTTTGCTACAAAGTGCTTCACTCAGTTGTGCAAGAAATTTTCATCTATAGGCTGCCCATATCACTTTGTAAACCAGGAACGTTTTATTGTAATAATGACCTCTGAATCCCACATTAAGGATCTGGAAGGTTTTGTTTAGTATTCACAATACCTCACATACATACTATAAACTTCAGTAATAGCCTATATTTGAAAAAGCAGTGCAGGCACTAAGTCAAAGAATATGCGCCTTACCATCTGATGAAAGTCATTTTGCAAAGACAGGGACAATTAAAAACATAGGAGAACGGGTAAATGGCTACAAAGTGAGTTTACCTGGCTCACAACTGGACATAATTTTATCTGATTTGCACAACATGCACTCCATATGAATTCACTGACTTTGTAGATTCCAAAGGGGTCAGACAGCCCAGTGGTTACAGCCACTTCATACAATAGTCCACTGAGCATGACTACAAGACAAAGTCTTCTTGGCTATGCAGGTCAAGGCCAACCTTACAACGAAGTATGTCACCTCACCCTGCAGTCAAAAAAGTGCTATTTCTTCATTTCTAAGAATGTTACTAGATAATTACATTCACTGGGATCAACTGTGAAGGACAAATTCTGCTGGCACAAGATCAGCATCATACATGAAGCTCTTTACACTTTGCTGTATTGTGAAGTACAATGAAGCAGTAGAAGACTGAATCAGCAATAGGGGAACAAATAAGAAAATGCTAATTCTTATGTTAGATGTTTCTACTACAGATAATCTTACATACTTCCTCTTTTATCCATCATTTCAATGAGATATGAATGCGTAAAAATAATAAACAGATATGAAGCTATTCAGCAATAATTTCACACAAAGCACAGATTGCTCAAAATTTGTCACCAAGGCCAACAACAACAAAAAGTATTAAACTGCTAATATAACCTTCTTAAATACAAGGACTTCTGTCAGGAAAATAGAAAACAATGATGGCAAGTATCCAACCCCCAGGATACCAGACTAGAGTGTGAGCAAGCACTAGATAAAAGCTGAAAGGCAATGTTAAAATAATCTGGAAGATATTCTTATCTGGAAGAGTCGACAAGGCAAGGCAAGCAGTAGATTTTTCTACTGTTGCCTTTTTTGGGGGTGTGGCCTTCCAAAATATATTTCGTCCAGAAAGTGACTAAGTGACTTTTTATTTTCAAATAGATACAGATGCTCCAAACTTTAATTAATGCAGATAATGATATACATTGCCTCTAGCTGAACACTACGAAACCAGTGTTAGCTTCATTTGCATTACCAACTACTCACTTGTTCCATATGTCCACATGATATCTATGAAAGCTTTGAGGTCTTCATTTTTCTGTCAGAGGCTGTAAAAATTAGTTAATGTGTTTTTTCTTTCAGCATAAAAAAAAAATCCATATGCAAATTCATGGTTTATTCAAATTCATAAAGCCAACTACAGAGCTTTTGCTGCTAGTAGTAGAGCAAGAGGCAATAATGCCCTGCACTGATTTTTTTTTTACTGCCTGGTCTCAAAATTGACATTCCTATCACCTCAGCATTTGCTTTTCCACTATAAAAGCAGCTGAATGCTCTATAGTAGGAATTACAAAAACAGATTTCTGTTTCTCTTTTCCTATTGTTTGCAATTTTGTTAAAGGTCCTTAAAAAAAACCGTGAAGGGAACAACAGAGTACAATCAAAGGGAAAAAAAAAACAACAAACAGAAACAAACAACAAACTATCAGCAGCCAGCCACTTGCCTCACTCTCATCTAACATCATCTTAGTATTGTGACCTAACATCGGTTGGTACCTGATATTCAGGAAAACAATAGGAAAAATCAGGTTTATGAAACTAGTAGTATTACAGAAGGGTAAGGACAGGGATTTTCAAGTGGGCAAGGATGACAAGTTACCTGTGATTAGGGAAACGGAAAGAAACACACTGATTCAGAGCAAATGGCAACAGGCAAAGACCGTGGTTCAAACTCCATCCAGAGTTGTGGTCTGGGGGAGTACCTGTGGATTAGAGAGACATTTAAGTTTAGCTTTTCAACTGTTTTTCTACTTTTAATAGCAACTTTGAAAACTGATCTGCAGAATTCAGCATGGGAGGGGGGCAGTCTATTTTGCTTTTATTCCCTTTGGCACATAGTAATGTGCCAAAATGCTTATGAGATTGGATAAGTAAAATGGATAATTGTCTTGTTTCTGCATCAGTTGAATTTTTAACTAAGTTGTGACTTCACAGCCAGCCATTGCATTCGTTTATGTCTCTGCAGCCATCACCTCACGGCAGTGCATAATTTAAAAGTCACACTTTAATTTTTATTATGTTTTTTATTTTTTTTAAAAAACAACCAAAAAACCACCCCCAAAACCCCAACCAAACCAACCAACCAAAAAAACCTATTTCTATCTTAGAAGAAAACCAGCTCGACGCTCCAAATTGGTATGAATTTTCAATGCAAAAGAACTATACAAAACAGTAAATAAATAAATAATAGTAATAAAAGAACAAACCCAACATAAAAATAAGAATGCTTCTCTTTTCTAACCGGCAGGTATTATTTATTTAACTTCTCATTTTTGTAAGTAGTCTACTTCCAATTTTGGAAGCTTTGAAGATTCTTTAAAGATCTATCCCGTTGTAAGGAAAAGAAATGGAATTAGTATTTGTTAGAATCTGACTGCTATGAATCTCTGCTAAACAGATATGTATGTAAACACACATATTTTGTATGTATGTATGTAAACACATATTTTGTAAGTAACATATACTTACATTTTTATATCTTTTACATATACATTTTACATACACGCACATAACTATACCATTATAAAAATCTCTTTACTTTTTGAAATCCAATAAAATTCTAGTTTTTTCAAGGCCTACAGTAAACTGTTTCATACTAGACAAGTCCAAAAGGCACATAAATGGATTGTGAAACCCAGAGGCATCTGATTCTGTTGAAAAGATCTTTGATGAGGATTCTATAAATAGAAAAAGAAGTTCCCTTTTTTTCAACAGCCCATGGTTTTGAAGCCATTTTCAGATTCTGCCTTTCTGATAACATAAGCTCAAGTTCACACCAAAAAAATAGACTCAAGTGTGACAGTATCTGTTTAGGAACAAGCATGAGGCAGCTGAATAAAATGCACTTAAGTTCTGAAAACTTACCTCATTGAGCCAACAGAAAAAAATAATAATACATCATATTTATCATTATGTATCTAATCTATTAAAAAACACTTCTGATAATTAATCAAAGTGCTCAGTATAATCTGAGATTCATATACAGGAAAATATATTTGGGTAATTTTATTATTATCAAACTTCCTTTTTGACATGAGAAATCATTAGAAAAGCATTAAAAAACACTTCTGATAATTAATCAAAGTGCTCAGTATAATCTGAGATTCATATACAGGAAAATATATTTGGGTAATTTTATTATTATCAGGCTTCCTTTTTGACATGAGAAATCATTAGAAAAGCTTAGTTTCTATATTAATCTGTTACTTACTGTGGCATGTGCTGGACAGAGTTACAAGAAATAAGCAATACAAATTGGTGAGATAATTCTGAGTTTCTAAATGCTTATCTATGAACTTTCTTATATTCTCGTAGCCAACAGGTGCATTGGCTGTCCATCCTAAATCACATTACAAAAATCTTCCCACATAAACACTAATTATGAAGTTCCTACTTCCCCTATGAGTAAGTCTCAAAAATAGAACATAATTCTATTATTACATATTACTGAATTAGTGGCTTTCCTGATCTGCTTTACCACATGAAATATAAATGAAAACCAAGAACATGCTAAGACGTACCTGAAAAAAGATGAGATTCACTAACATTTGGACAGAGTTGAATTGCCAACTTAGGTTTTTTTTTTTTATCTTTATATAGATTTGGGGTACATATGAGCTCAGAGAGTAGGGATACACTATGTTACACAGAAAAATCTACCTTGAATTGGGGCTCAGCTTCCTCCATCTTCTACTTGCTTTCAATAATAGAAAAAATTGAGAAAAGTAGTTTTAAAGAATAAAAAATATTGTAAGGGGAAGGTAAAACAATTCAGATGAAATATGAGGTTTTCTACACAGAGCAAGAAATTGTTTCATTTTCAGGCTCCACTTGAAGTTGCAAAACCAATCTTTCACTACCAGAGCTTTTTTTTTTTTTTTTGAGAAAAAAGAAACCCAGGACTTAGACAGTTATGTTGTAGTTCAAGGGGTATGAAAACGTGCCAGCAATTTAAACCATTTCACATTCAGAAGCTCCTGAAGTTTGAGAGCACGCTTGGTCACATCTATATTTAAATTTGTTAGACTTAGTCATAATTTCTAAACATACTCTCCATAGTCCTTCTTTTCTTGAAAGAAACATTTGCTGTAGAATAATGAATATGAATTATGCAAAGAAAATCTTTAAAGAAATTCTTCTTGCATATTTTAAGCCTGTTAAAAAGTTGAGTTTGAAAGACACTGTCATCCAGAGAGATTCATTTCTTTTTATAATAAGAAAAAACATCACAAAATTGTAGTACAGAATATGTCAGCTGAGTTACTTTAGGCAGAGAAATTTGTGCCACGGCTATTCTTTTGAATTTTTGTGAGGCTAGAAACCTTAACACTATTCATATTGTAGAAAGCAAAAAATTTTAATTCATCAGTGCCTTACCTCAACTTGAAGGCAGAGAAAAAAAAAAAAAGCTTAACGTTACCTATTTGACAAAACTTCACATTTGAAATGGAACTTTAAAAAGTGATTAAGCCGTGGAAGACGGAAGTCTGCTATCAGCCTCAGGATTCAGCACCACTAAGATCAGCAGCATCTCCTACTGGCAATTCTAAATTAAACTCTTCCTCAGGAATTCAGTTAGAAAAGGGACAGACACAGAAATGAGCAAAGCTATGCCAACTCATTACGCCTTTTAATCCCAACGCAAAAAATTCATGCCATGCCTAGACCTGGATTTTGCTTCCTTTGCCCAAGTGAATCCTCCCCTGCATATGGACATGAACACTGATCCAGAAACTAACTTTAGCTTGGGGACCTATTCTTTCTCCTAAATGTACTTTGGAGGCTACAAATAGCATAAAGTCTTAAAATCTGCCTAAAACTCCCCTTCTAAATCTAGTTATAAAAGAATCCTTTCTTTCAAGCTTAGGCCCTCTTTTCTAAGTCTAGTCTGGTAACCCTTAGGAGATACAAACTAACCGATTTCCAGCAGCTTGGAGTGCAATTTAGCTTCCCAGAAATTCAGCCCTAAATAAAAATTCAGCCTTAACTTTGCTTGATTTTAGTCCAGGGGTTGTATTTCGCAGGACCTGATTAAAATTGTACATGATAGTACTTCTCTTTGAACCCATCTTGCATCAGGTCCTGGTCTTTCTCTGACCAAAACAATTTGATCTACTCTTCTACTGTTTCAATAGTTAACAGCAAGAGAACTTCAGAACAGTCATTGTAGAGTTCTAATGAAACCAAACAGACTTGCAATCTACTAAATAAGACATCTTCTGTAACTTGCATTCTGTGCTCTGTTACACACATTGAGTCACTGTTAGCAGTGATCCCAGGAGCATAAGGAGGAAAAATGTACTGTGAAATTCAGCACCTCATTAACAACAGCAGATAGGTGGGTAACACCTCTTTTAACCCAAAGTCCAACTACAGTTCATTAAGTAAGAATATCCACCTATCTGCCACAAATTGAAGTATCTGGAAACAGTTACCCAAAATTAGGTTATATTTCCAGCTGAAATTTGTAGACCGGAAACATAATTCCTTATCTAATTTTGCGAATATTAATAAACAGCTGGAATATCGTCCTAGCGATTTGCAAACTTTTATTACACAGCAAAAAAAAAAGACACCGTCCTTATCTAATTGTTTTAAAGATGTTTCTCAGTCATGCTTTCTTCACACATACCTCTGCAGAATGGGGCTTTTTCATTAGTATCATTTACTTTTATCATACTACCATTTGCAGTTTTTCTCACTTTAGAGAAACTGTTTTCAGGATTAAACACTAAGGAGTTAATTTTGCTTTAGAGAAGTAGCCTATGGGTCAAATCTTAGTCAAATTATAAGCATAGAAACCTTATTATTAAAAGGTCATTTACTTAGAAGGCAAACGGACTACAATTTACTAATGGGAAATAAGCCAAAATTAAAAATATAAAATATAAAATATCTATCCAGTGTTCTGCTGATTCTGCAGACAATTTTTTCCAAGGTCATCATAAAAGCTGAGGAAAAAGTCTGTACTACAACCAGTAGCGCAAAATAGTCTACTGCTACAGGTTAGCATTTTCATGTAAGTATTGCAATGGTCAGAGACTTAAGTTGGGGGGGGGGCGGAGGGAAGAAAAAGAAACCAAACAGATGCAATCATAAACCATTCTTAAGGTTTTCTTAAGAAGTCTAGATTTAGAAGACTTTGTGTAACATTCCTCTTCTCATTTTTCCACCTCAGCCTGCCTGAGAAATGCTAGAAAAGCGAATGTCATTTGTGACATTCAGTTGTCATTAGCAACTAATCATACACGGTATTTTCTTTTATCATAACTAATAATTATTAGTTGTACTAAGCAGACAGAAAGTGTGATGTAGAATTCATTCAGATTGGAACAGTAGTTCAGATCTGTTGTGGAACAAGGACACTTCATTTCCTCTGCACGCACAAATCTAACCATCAAAGTATCTGTAGGATGTCCCAAAATAACGAGATCCCGATTCTGCAAACACATATGCTGATTTTTAATTTATGAATTCACTCACCTTACTGAAGCTAATCACAAACATATAGATAGGCACGCATGTAGCTGAAGGACTGGAAGTATTTGGCGTGGGTGTATTTTATTGACAAGTTAAAGAAATGGTGATTACTAATAACATTTAGAAAGCACAATAATGGATGAAAAACAGGTAGTCCTAATAATTTTTGGAAAATAAACATGAGTATATGCAGTACTAGTTTTATTATGATACTCTCAGTAGCAGATAACCTACAATGCTAAAACAGATACTCTAGTTACTAAGAAGAGAGAAATTATTTAAGTACCAATACTTAAAACTAAAACTATTAAATCACCTTGAAAACTAAATCTCTACAACAATGCATAAACAAAGATAACTGAAATTTCAGTCATTCCATGTTGATATTCTTTATATCAAAGAAAACTGTATACTTAGGGCAAATACTTTAAACAGATGGCATTTATGTCCATAAACATGAATAAGCTAAAATAAACTCTTTCATCTCTTCAGAGATAGTCGTAGAAGTACAAATTTGGGAATAAATGACCTTCCAATATTAGCCCTAGCCAGCTGTTTCAAAGATCTTGGATTCAAGTCCTTGCTCCACTATGACCTGTGTGATCACACCTAATTCAAATAGTTTATCTGTGCTTCAAATCCCATGTGCAAAGCCGACTTTTCAGATGATACTTGCCCTCACAATGAAATGAAAAAAAAAAAAAAGCAATGTTAAAATTCAGAATAAAATTACTCTAAAATAAACTGCATTGTTTCAGATACTAGAAACAGGTTTTAGCCAAGCATGAGAAATTAACAGACTGTAAAATGTACAGATCTTAGAAGGACTGACCTCTGAGAGCACAGGACTTTTTGCCAGGCTGATTTGCTATGGGGCAGTATAGAGTAATAGCAATTAAATATATTTCATTCATCCTCCATATATTTTTTTAATTCTGATATGAGACAAACGTGCTTGAGATATTAAAAATGTTTGAAAGAAAAAATTTTAGACATATTCAAAAGAATGAGAACACGACCAGACAAAAAAGATAAAGAAAGGTCAAGAATTAAATAAATCCTCCAGATTAGAAGTGGGACACAATTCAGGAAGGGTGAAAAACAAAACTTGCTTTCTGTTGTCTGTTCTTAGCGTGATCTATCTGAAGTTGTCAGAGGTTGTTCAGAGAACTGCTGGTTGTTCAGAAAAATGTTTTGAAAACATTTGTAAAAGGAGTATCTTTACATAAAATAAAACAAAAAGAATAAATGTTAATTGTACTGATTCCACCCTGAGAAAGTCAGGTGATGAGGTAGCAGCCTTTATGCTTACGAAGGCCCAGATTTAGCACAAAACACTATCAAAAATTCCACACAGACTTCAGACAAGAGAAAGAACAAAAAAGCTCAGGAGAGACCACTATCACTAGCGTGCTTTCTCTCTGTCCCAGACAATCCCAGGGAAGAACAACTGTGTTCTGTTCCAGAAGAGAAAACCATCCAACCACACCCAAGAGTCACTGTAGCCCAGGAAACTGCTTTATTAACAGCCCATACATACGTGACTCTGCACTTCCCCCCCAATAATTCTGTTTCTACTACCTCAGCTGACAAGGTCATCCTGCTTCTGCAAAGTGATTTGGTGTTCATGACAGATAAGTTTCCTGTGCTGTATTTTTATGTTTTAGTATGATAAATTAAAGCGAGTAACACAAAATACACTGGACCCTGAAGAAGAAAAGCATCAATTTCCTCTTAGCATCTAGCCAAGTATACTAGTGTTGCTCTACTTCAAATTAAGTTGACTTGTAGAAGTTCAGATGAGTGTAGCTGGAAAGCAGCCAGAAAACTTCTATTCTTTTAAATAAAAAGGATATTTTCTCATGTCTTGCTATAAATTCCTCTTTTTTCTTTTTCTGAGTGAGCCAAAAAGTGTCTTTTAAAAGCTGTGTCTTTAAAATTCAGGAACAGTAGGAAAACTAGTAAGAAGGGATTCTCGGATGGTCTTTATCTGGTGTCATTTATGTTTTGGTCTTACAGGAGTAGAAGTTCCTAAAAAGCAGAGTTTCAAATTCCTAGCTTTAAATTGTCTGCTAAGAAAAAAGAAAGGAAAAAAAAAAAAAAAAAAGGAGGGGTACTCAAGCCAAATTCTACTGTGGTAAATAAAAGAAAAAGTATAGTTAATGTTAGACCACATTCCACAGAAATGTAACGCAGAGAGAAAGGAGTGAAGAGGTACTTTTAGAGCAATCCAAAGGTGATCTTTTCAGATGTTTTCTATTCTTTTGGACAGAGAGTGGAATAAGTAACCATGATATTTACATAGCAGTGTAACATGAGACAAGAGTGCATAATATATTAATAGGGGAAATATTTTTTTTCTCAGGTGTCTAATGGGTTATTCCCTTATAAATAACAAGCCCACAGCTCATTCCAGACAATATACATTTACCACAATAATAAACATTCCTTACTTAGCTGGTAAAATTGCAAGGTAATCTGTTCCCCTTTTATTCTCCTATTTGAACTTCCTACACAAGGAAGGATTTACATGATCCTTTGTGATAACATGCTGTTAAAGCAAATATATGCTACAGCAATCTGTATCTGCCTTTCTTATGGCTGCACATTTAAGGCTTCATGGGCCAGATTCTAAGCTCTCCTAATTCAGCAGCTGAAAGCATTTCTTGCTCTTTCACATAATGAGATCCCAGCACGTCAAAAATTACTTCTACAAAAAGACTGCACACTTTCCCTAGTGTTAACTGCAGTGTTACAGGGGAAAGTTGGCTTTTGAACACTCATATTTAAACTAGTACATGCAAATAAAATTATATGTGTGTATGTGACAACAGTATGCAATTTGAAACTTAGAAACAATATTCAAAATTTAATGTAAATGAGAAAGGTTTTGCAATCAAGAAAAATAGCAGAGGTATGGAGATACTAAATTGAACAACATACTAAAGTTATTTATATTAGACATTTTTATTTATTCACCATTTTTCCTACCAACAAGTGAGTTTAATAACTTTTTTTTTTCCCCCAAGCCCATACTGCAAGCAAATGGATTTAGGGAAAGTATATATAAGTATGTAAATCTCTGAAAGACTTTGATATTTCTGATATTTCCTGTTTCATGACCTGTGTCTACTTTTGCTAGAAAGAAGGAGATTCAGGGATAAGCTCCAATCATTTCAGTGACTGGTATTCACACGTGCTGGTTCAGATGGATTATTGTATGATAGGCAGCTAACATTAAATGTCAAACTAACATGAAATATAAAGACAGCAGTATGTTAGAATTGGTATACTCTACGTTGGAATGAAAAGACTATTCAAAATTGATCTTCCAGGGCTAATAATATATTATACTCGACTCCATATAAGATTTTACTTCTTTCATACCAAATATCTAACTTTAACAAATGTAAACTTGAAATCTGCTACTGAGTAAAATATTACACACAACAGAAAATACGGACTAGAAAGACTAACTATCCAGCAGGTATCACTGAACATATTAGGAACTGAATATCATGCTCGTATAAAGAAAAAAACAGAATGTATCTCGCTACTCACCTTCCCCAAGCTGTTTGCCAAATATATGGCATTTACCAGTGCAGATAATCAAAACCAGAATATTAATCTCATTATCTACCAACAAGGTGTTTGTTTTATGAAAGAACAATATACTTACATTAAAGCTCTTGTAGATCAAATAGATACTCTGAGAAAAGTCTTCTGAAAGAATGCAAGAAGAGAGCCACTGGAAGTTATTTCTATTTTTATTTTAAAAATTTTATTATTGTTTTCTTATTTTTTATATTTGCCATCGGAGAGACTTCAGTTTATTCCAAGTCATAAATTACTACAGATGGAAAAGGTTTTCAACAAAATATTTTTGCTGGGAAAAAAAAATCTGGATAAATGTTTTAGAAAGAATAAAAGTTCTGAACCAGAAAAGATGCTACTCAGCCAGTACAGGAAGTCCAGAACAGATTAGTAGCTCTGGCTCCCACATACTATACAAAGATCAAATTTAACAGATGGAAGCAAAGAATATCCCATGCTGGAGGCAAATATAAATAAAGGCTACTTAATTGTTTGGGACAGAGTAAAGCTGATTCTCTGACCCAACTACCAACTATTCCAGTTAATTTCTATTTCACTGCCAATTAAAATTATATTTCTAAGTTGAAAACAAAAAAAGGAAAAAAAAAAAAAAAAAAAAAAAAAACAAAACCAAAAATTTAAATCTAAAAAATTAGTTTGAAGAAAAACCTATTTTTTCCCTCTCAGTAAAGAGTATCATTTTGGTTATGTATACAAAAGCAGATAATAGATGCATGCGAAACTCAATTGGTCAAATACCGAAAAAAAAAACCATGGAATTTGTAAGCATCACTTTTTCAGAGAGGATTAGTTTTCCGGTTTGAGTAAATTATTGCAAAATTCCCTTCTGTTGTGATCTGGGCATACATGTAGCTATATGCCATAGTTTATCTACAAAAAATCTTTTGGTTTGTTTACCTTATTTTGAAATCAATTAGCACTTTTGCCATATATTTAAAATCTGGAAAAAAATAATGTGCCGCAAAAAGTATTTCTGAACTGGTGTCATTCAAATCACAAAATAAACATTTGGTAATTGATAAGAATGCCAGAAGGAAACATTTTCATGTTAATTATTGTTTGTGGTTGATTTTAGGTATTTATATGTTAAGAATTAATAAAATGTTTTGAAATATTATTGCAACATTAATTCTAAATTGCTATTTTCATTCCATGTTCTCTTTCTTATTTGCCTTGTTTATATCATGTTTAAGTTAGATCAAAGGCTATTTGTAGAAGTAATCAGGCCTATTTTCACCAGCATCAGTCATGGCTTGTCATTATCAATGAGCTCTCTGCTCAAGACTAGTTTCTATGGAAACCACCCGCTGATATTACTGACATTTGTAACTTTTTTTTTTTTTTGAAAGCACGTGACTTTTGTTCTCATTGCTCAATTTCTCTGTACAACTTTTATGTTGTTTTACTTTGCACATGTTAGCAATTTGGCAAAACCCAGTAATAAGATCCTGCATCATCTATTAAGATGTTAAAGTTCTCAGAGATCTGATCTACTGCAAAATAAATAGTAAAACCAGCAGACGATTTCTCAGGAAAACATTTTGGTTTTGGAAGTGTCACCAGCAATGGGAAGTATTACAACAGCAACAGTTTAAGAAATCAAGTCACAGATAGAACACAGTCAAATGATATTCTATGGTGCAATAAGCAAGATGTTAAGAACCACAAAAAAGAATTTAAGACACACAATTACAATACCATATATAAAGACAATCTAACTACTAATAGATTATATTACCTGGCTAATAGATGGTATTACCTTGCTGAAAGTCTGACAGATTATAGAAATATCAGAAGAGATTGTTTAAATTCAATAAACCAGCTGCAAATTAAACTAGACTACGTTGGCTGTGTAACCACTGAGTATGGCATGCCACCAAATACATCAAATATGCAAGCATTTACATAAATGTCTACAGTAGCAAGCATAAAGCAACAGGAATAACTGCTACAATATTTCATTTACTTAGCCAAATTCTTTCCAAGCCTTGTTGAAGCTACATTAAAGTGCTGTTTCAACCTCTGAAGACAGGAGTTCCAGAAGAACTATCACATCAACATTTCCAATAAAAGTAGTCTCCCAGGTTATTTAGAAACTTCCACATAAAATTAAGGACAGATTTTTTTGATACCTGGTAGGAATATGTGGTAGTAATCTGTTCTCAAGCTTTTTATCAGGGCACTAAGACAACAGCAAAGCAGGAAAAGAAAAGAATACTTATTCCTTGGAACTATACGGCAATTGCGGGTGACTCAGTATCAATATTGCAGTTTAAGAGAAAGCATGTTGTATAATAAAGCACTAGAAAGACTGGTCAGAAATCTGTTCTATATGAGGTTGGGAATAAAAATTACAGAAATAGTCATTGCAGACACACTGACAAATTACATTTAGTCTCAGGATTTCATGGAATATTCCACTGATAAATAACATACTTTCCCTGTCAACTCAACAGTGACTTATGTTAAGCAACTGTAAAAACAAATTGCCAATTACAATTACTGTTAGAATCTGACCAATATATTAACTACCAAGTAGTCTGACAAAGACAAGAATTGTAGACAATGACTTTAACTACTCCAGAGGCAGAAGGATATCTGAAGTATGTGGTATTACACTGTAAGGAAGAAAAACTGTATAGGAACCTTAAAACACTTGGCAGATACATTTAGAATACTATCACGAAGCCATTAAAGAAAAACCTTCTCTTTCCAAGTAAATATGGTTCTGTTCTTTTATCAACACTTCTAAAAAGACAACTAAGCATATATCCCACTAAGGTTATCATTTGTTCTCAAAAAATGTGAAGTTAAATAAAAATCTGATTAGGCCTACCAAACAGAGATGATGTTCACAGAAGTGTGGATCACATCAGTTACAGTTTGAATTGCAGAAAACTAATAGATCCTATGCCCCTTTTTCCCATCTCCCAAAAAGAGTTGCTATATAAACTTACCTACTCATTATTTAAGTAGGATATTTGTGATAGACCTCAACCTGCAAAGAAAAAACCATTAGTACACTTCCAATGAAAATAGAAGAAAAGATATAATACCACATTCAGTCAATTCTCACTCTATTTTTCAAACAAAACGCATGAAATTTCAAGATCTTGTAGAAAAATCTCATTACTTTGATACAACTTTTAAAGTGGCTATTTTCTTACACGTACATATAGCTGAGTAGATATAGGGCTTGCACAGCTGTTAATGAACAGAAGGCAAAAACCAACTCCAACACAGCAAAAGACAATGGAAGTTCTGCCAGCTGTCTTGGCACGAGATTGGTACTTAAATAAATCGCTAGAGGCTTTAAGATTTTGTTAAGGCATCCCTTCTTAATTTGTTATAAACACAAAGGAATAAAGATAAATAACAGAAAGTTCAGATTGTGCAGACAGTGTAAATAAGAAGAAAAAATAATTTCCCAAAGTTTCTAGGGAGATTCTACTACAGGACTAAATCCATGTTCAAGAAGTAGAAATAGCATACCTAACCAATCTGAACAGTAATGTTCCAGGTGAAACAGACCGAGTGTATCAAAACAAATCAGCAGTTTAACTGTTCATCATATCAGGACTGCAGCAGATATGATCCTCTGCGGAACAGCTAAAGGAAACAAACAAAAAGAGATAGTAATTCCAATAAGTGTACCTGAAATCTTGCTAACAGCCTATATTGTTAACAATTTTACTAGACTTGAACAAAGCAAACACATTTTCTTATCAAATCTCAGCAACACATTCTTTCAGGGTAAGTCAGGCTGTTCGTCATCCACAACCTCATCAAACAATTGGCACATTTTGAATAAGTTTTCATTTATATATTTATTTGGATATGAAGCCACTGTTTCAATCTTACTTTATCTCTCTCATTTCCTGAAAATAAATTCATACTACTATTGTGATATCACTTAACATCAGATAAACAGTACATACCTTTAATAACTTTATTATTCATCATGCTTGACATTAGTTTTGGCACTACCCTGATTTCTTCATATCCAGATTAAAACATTATTCTCAACATGAAAACATACATTAATGCAATTTGTCAGATGCTGTTGCATCTCTGTGTGAGTCTTACAAATGTTTCTATTTCTTCTCCTTACTACGCAAAAGACTTGACCATGTTTGTTTTCAATACAGTGTAAATAGTCCATAAAACCAAGTCCCAGAAAGTTACAGTTTCACTTGAGGGGTGCTAGTAGCTAGACTACATCATTTTACTCCTCTGGTAAGCAAAACAAAACCATACCTCATGTAGTCCCTCTTGTGGCATATGATGTGTATACATAAATATATATACACACATATGTACATATGTTTACACACACACTTGACAAGTCTTTTTGGTGAATGAAAAAATTATGAGAACCATAACTGATTGAATAAATATATATATATACGTAAAGCTATCATTTAATAAACTCTCCCATCTTTTAAGGGCCTTCTTATTTTACTTCTAAGCAGTTATAGTGGAGTTTTATTTATTTGATATAAGAAAAGAAAATACAAGAAAAAAAATATTTATATTTCCATTAATATGAAAAGCAATGAAATAATCAAGCAAATAAGTGGTTGTAAGACTCTGAATACCTATTGCCTGTGAGTTAGCCTGCCATTAAGACCTGGAGAAGCCAAGTCTCCTGTGAGAAACCATTTCAGGAGATGCAATTGTTTACTGAGGAACACTTCTTCAAGGCATGGCAACATCTGAACAAACTAGACAATAACAGAACACATCTGCTGAAAATATTAGAGGCTTTCTTTCTTAACTCAGAATCTTCAAAAGCAAAGGTTACAAACCCAGCAACTTCCGCCCCGGCTGAACAGATATAAATGCAATAGATGTGACAGAACAATGCTAACATTTACAGAAAGTCAGGGTAGTGGGCTGCTTTTTTTTATTTTTTATTAACTTCCTCGGTTCAGCAAAGGTACAACTGTCATTTCATTGCTCTATGAGAAGTATATGAATAAAAGTGACTTTAGACAGACTGTGGGGCTTCTTATAGTCTCCATGGTCACATTTCACCTTACCTCTGCTGGTAATTAACTTAGCTATTTAAAAAAAATAGTTTAAACATGGTCAGTTTCATTATTTTGATTGCACTCAAGTAATTTACGAGGAATGTTACAGTGGAATTATTTGTCCTTCACTTATCCCAAACAGTGCAAACTCTGAACTGGATGGAGGAACAAAACTGTAGCTATGCATCAAGTCCTAAACTATTTTTCATACATCTTAAGAATAAGCCTATGCATACAGACACAGGTGTGCAAATATATGTCTATTTAATAGAAAGAATTTCTTTTTATATAATGATACCCAAACAATTTTCATGATACATTATGACTAATACCAAGATGAAATTTTGCCAGAATGAGAAAGCACACTTGCAATTATTAACAATTAATGTACTTTCCCCAAACACATACAAACTGACTTAATTTGAATCAGCACCTAACTAGCTTTAGTTTCCATTAAACAAAGATAGATAATTAATATACCATTCCTATTACCTCTTATTTATACTCCTGTAGTTGCCATATTCAATGAGTACACTATGAAAATGTTTAGACCAAGACTGTTGTATCGGGGTAGACGCAGCCTCCGGTACTGCTGCTCATTATGTTGATTTAAGTCATAGTGTGCCTTAATGATGGGTTGGAAAATCCTTCTCATTTGAAGTGCACAACCTGAGGTTATGTTTAATAGGATTCATTCTAATGTACTCTGCCTCCACTTGGCATTGGTTTTCTTGGGAGGTGATTTTCACTACAGGAAAAATAACACTGAAAAGGAACAACAGGAGACCAAAACAACCTAGTCCATTAGGAGGAAGGGCACGCTATCACTTTTAAACACATCAGGTGCTTAGGAGAGCTGGGTTCATGTCTTAGCAAAATAGGATTTTTGCATGTATCAGTATTTTCCAGGGTTCAACTGTGGATCTGGAATAAGATCCAGCCTAGAATGATTAAGCCAGATTATTTCACACAGTTTTCTTACACATTTTGAGCTACATTAGCTTTCTACAAATGCACAAAATACTGCTACGCACAGGTAATATGAAGAAAGAACAAAGATGTGTTCTGCCCAAAGATATATTGATTTAAAGTTATCACTTAATACACACATCATACTTTTTTTTTCTTAAACTGCACTGCTTTTCTTCTTCCACCCACACTACTACCATGTTTCCTCTCCTGCTTACTCTAATTCTAGTTACATCCCACCTTCTCTAAATGTCTTTGAGGTCAATCCTTTCTCAAGACTTTCGAAAGGGAATGTTTCCTTTCAGCCCCAGCATGCATTCCTAGAAATGTTTTCAAGACAAGACCACCAGCAAGGTACTGCACGTGGGTCAGAGCAATCCCAAACACAAATACATGTTGGGCAGAGAACGGATTGAGAACAGCCATGAGGAGAAGGACTTGGGGGTGGGTTGGTGAACGAGAAGCTCAACATGAGCTGGCAATGTACCCTGGCAGCCCAAAAGGCCAACGGTATCCTGGGCTGCATGAAAAGAAGCACAGCCAGCAGGTTGAGAGTGGTGATCCTGCCCTTCCATTTATGTTACGGGAGATGACATGAGTTCTGTGCAAGAAAATAATCCCTTAGAATTCTTAATATACTTTTCTTAGGAGAATACAATTCTCAGGACAACAGTTTTTCCTCCGAAGAACTAGAATTAACATGCTCCTGTAACTGTGGCAAACACCAACTCTACAGCTTTCCCAATCCCTGCAAATGAACGCAGTTATTTATACGTCTTTGAATGTATAATATGCATTTATAACTGTTTATCCCTACATTTTACATTAATATTTTCAGGCAAGTTCAGCACAATGCTTCACCTAGAGTCCAACTATGTTTCCTAGGTAATTTGTGCATTTTTTTTTTTGTCCAATAAAGTGCTGGGCTAAGTAACCACCATTTCAGAAACATTTAAAAAGATGACAACTGCTGTGATCATATACCATAGCGTTTAGAGATACAGTCAAGCAACAAATGCAATAGCTCTACTATTTTCATGGACATATTATGAATATGGACTGAAATAATAAAATAAGTAAATTCAATTTGTGTAAAGAAAAGATTAATTATACTTGTACTTAATATACTACATAAAGAGTCTATAGTAAAAGCATCTTCCCAGAATTTTCATCCTAGACTGGACTACAAGAAAACTTAAACATAAAACAAAGCAAACAACAAAAAGTCTCTCCTAAATTGTTGTTAACAAGGGCACTAACACAAACAGAAAGCACCTACATGAGAAGAATAATTTACAGTTCTGTTACTTCCTCTGAATTACCAGATGACACTTGCCATTTTCTCACATTTCCTTTCCCTTTCTTTCATTTGTATTTGCTTTAAAGGTGAATGGAAGGTAAGAATGAAAAAAAGTACCAGAGTTAAAAAAGGAAAATTGAACACAGGCAACAGAATTTTTTCTAAGCGTGATAAAATGAGGAAGAACAGCATACACAAAGGCACAAAAGAAGTACTTCTCATTGCTTCCCCACATCACTGCGATAAAGTGCATGACTCTTCTCTGCCCTTTCCTCCTCTTTTGGGAAGTGGAGGCTTTACTGTCCTCTGTACTCAGGCCAGAGCAAGATGTTGCCAATTGGTTCTGAGGCATTTAAAACAATAAAAGCTGCCAATTGGTTCTGAGGCATTTAAAACAATGAAAGCAAAAAAAAAAAAATCTTCTGGTTTTCAACAAAAGCCCAACAAACTGAAGGTAAACTCAGACTACAGTCAACCTTTTGCCTCTAACTGAAGCACTGCACTACTATCTGCCTTTAATTAAGCCAGTACACAGAATTTTTCCTTTCATTGGAACAAATGTAAAATCTTTTACATTAGTTACCTCTATTGTATTCATAACCTGGGCCTAAAAGGTGTGAAACACAACCTAATGATTCAGATTAATGATAGCAGGAGGCTACAGTAGTGGTATAGCTCTTCAATGTGAAACTCAAATATACATAATCCTAGTGCTAGCAAACTGTACCTTGTCCTTTGTTTCATCTTATTGCATGTGAAATGACTACATAACTGCTTATCCATAAGAACACAAAACTAAGACAAAAGAAAGACAAGAGACAACAGCTTCAGGTTGTGCCAACAGAGATTTAGACTGGATATTTGGAAAAAATTCTCCACTGAAAGGTTTATCAAACATTGCAACAGACTGCCCAGAAAAGCAATTGAGTCATCACATCTGTAGGTACTTAAAAGATGTATAGATGTGGCATTTAAGGAAATGGCTTAGTGTTGGACTTGGCAGTGCTAGGTTAACAGTTGAACTTGATGATCTTAAAAGGTCTTTTCCAACCTTAATGATTCTATGAAAACATAAAAAGGGAGAATGAAATATTAACAGCTGAAAGACAGTGTCAAAAACTAAAGCAGCAATGTAAACCCAATTCTGAAGGTGTTATGTCCACCCTTTGCTTTATGAGTATTCATAACTACCATTATGGTTACCCTGAGGAGCATCAAATTGGTTATCTACAAGTAACAGAGACTATGAAAAACAGAGTAAATCCAAACTTTAACTTTGAGGTTTGGGGTGCTGGTGTGAGGAAAAAAAAAATAATCTCACCAAAATCAAAACCCATAATTCTTTATTCTAGACATACAGTGATTTTGACTAAACCCATGTTACCTATTTTGAACATGCCAAATATTCATTTTATGTCTCTTCTTCCCACTCCCTTAATGGTGATGAGACCTACTAGTTGTTCCTCTAATATCCAACACTATCACATCAAACTTTTTCTTCGTGAAGAGATCAACACTGGCTGCTAGACTTCAAGACAGTGGGGAAAGAGAATAGGTGGGAGGGGAAAAAAAAGGCTCAAAGCTTGTAAACAGAAGCCATTAGTTAATGCATCAGTATTTGTCACACTGTCTGTGTGCTTGCTGATCTCTCTTGCTTGAAAACAACAACAACAAAAAAATATGCAAGGTTTTCTTTCATCAAGTTCCTAAAATATTTTTTTTACTTACAAAAATATTTTAAAGAATATTAGCTATTGTCAAATTCTTTCAAATCTTTTAAGACAGAGCTACTCTGTTTCATTTTGATTGACAATCCTGTAAGATAGTAGAATGGTACTTTAGAACCATAGAACATTCCGTAGAGCTGCAGAAACACATGGGATACTTTTTAAAACATATCCCATTGGCATACTGAAACATACACCTGAAGCCCAGACATACAGCTCCTAGCAATTTAATTAATTTACTGGAGACAATTAACTAAAATGAAAGTACACTTGTCTCCAGAGAAGAGAGATTTATTTACAAACTTTTTGTTGTGTGTAGAAAAACTGTGTGTTGCTAGCCAAATGTCAGGGGGGTTGGAGGTTTGCGGGTTTTTTTGTTTGTTTGGGTGGGATTTTTTTTTTTTTTTTTCTTTTGAAAGCTCTGGTTACATTATCTATTTGGCTTCAGAAAGTAATACTCCAGAATTTATTTAGCAATCAAAATGAACTATATCTATTAAATTAATTCAAAAATGTGCCTTTTGTTCAATGGACACTTCACCAAAAGGGCATCTTATGCTGTCTTTCTCCCCAATTAAGCAACATTGATAGCTTATGTAGAAATACTACAGTTGTGAGTGCTTCGCCAAGAAAGAAATTGTTTATCACCATAAAAAAACCAATATGTAACCCACCACCTTTCCCTCAGAAAAGGAGGGTCATTTCTCATCTTTGATACCCCACTCCATAGGTAAGAGACATCTGAAGGGGGTCAGACATCTGACATCTGCCAGAAATCTGGAAACATAAAGATGTATCCTATAAGGAGTGGAAAGCAGGAGGGGTGCAGTATTCATCTTCCCATCTCCCATATAAACTCCTTTCAGTTTCCTGACATGTTTTCAAATGAGAAACTGGTGAAGCTGTATGCATTTAGCTACTTCCAAAAACTTTCTGAAATATATCAATGGTTTCAGTAGAGATAGTTTTCTTATTCATTCATAGTGTTCTCTATTGAACAATTTTCCTTCTTACTTAAAATAGCCTAGCCCCTACCTAGCAGGCTGACAGTATTCTTTTACATCTACCCTCCTATTCTGACAAAACTTATTCTATGTCTTCAATAATGTATCATCATTTCTGAAGCAAATCTACATTCCTCAAGCCATATGTTGTCAAATTCTATTTCACAGCTTCGTTCACACATTCTTTTCCTATTTCAACACTACAAACTGAATAGTTTTCCTCCCCTTTTCCATTTCCTCTCCTTTTCCCTTGTTTGCTCAAAGTTGCCAGCACCCTTTTTCAGCAGGGTTTCATTTTTGGTACCTGCAATAGCAGTCTCGTCGATTTCCCTTTTTGCTGTCTGCATGACACTTCACACATTAACTTTATTACTGAATCCTAGAAAACTTTCAGCGTTGTACCACTGACGATAATGCTTGAAACAGATTTCTATTCTGCTGCTCTCAAAAACATAGATATCTGAGCAGAGAAACTGAATGACAGTGACCAGACTGTTATCAATGTAATCATTTCAACAAACTGCAGCCACTGCAGGTAACTTTACTATTAGATGTTCTACCTTATGAAGGACTCCTATATTCTATCCTATATTCTCCCTATAACCCCGGACGGTTTCTTTCCACCCAGCCCGGTCTGCCCGCTCCCCCCTTGCGCTCACCGGTCACACCCCGCTCCGGACCGGCTGTACCCGGCGCCACCGACCGCCCTCCCCTCAGCTCTCGCCGCCGCGCGACTGACGCACCCGCCCTCCCCTCAGCTCTCGCCGCCGCGCGACTGACCCACGCGCCCTCTGCTCCGGCCGCCTTCAAATCGCCGCGCGGCTCCTGGCCACGCCCCCTCCGCGCCCGATTGGCTGCCGCGGACTTCCTGGTTCCGGCTGTGCAGCGCCCTCCGGGACGGGCCTCGGGCTCCGCTCAGGCCTCGGCCCCGGTCCTGTACAAATTTTAAGAAAGAAATTTAGGAACATGTCATAAAAACGCTCATTCACGTGTGCAACTTTATATGAGTGTTCCGATGTAACTGAAATCTAATCATAGCAAATGCATAAATAGGAAAGATTGCAGGGTTAGGGCACTAGACAGGTATTAAATGGGCAATATTTTTGCTATACTCGTTAATCTCTTCCGTCGCATGGCACATTTAACAGTCCTGGAAGACTCAGGACAAATAAATTTAGCGGTGTCGTTAGTAGCACTAAGGCTGCAAAATGTAGCTGAGGAATTGATGTGTATTTTTCCATTTTCCAAAAGCAGCACTCTAGAGCACTGTGGCAGCTGCTGCATACCACCACAGAGGCTTATTTTGACTCCAAATGCAAGTAATGAGTTAATTCATAGACTTAATGAAACAAAAGAATCAATGAGACTTTGGGCTGCAAGTTTCACAGAACGGCTACGCCTCCAGGAATGCACTTAAATTGAGATTTTCCTTGGAGCAGACGCTGTTGTGTAATTTCTATTTTTGATACTCTAGTAAGAGTATTTCAGATAAAAACTGCCCGCTTACTTTTTGAGTTTGTCGATTTCCAAGTGAAAAATACACATTTTTATACCATCTGATTGATAGTCCCTCTGCATTACAAAAAAAGGATTTTAGGGTCAGAAAAACAGCAGAATGCAGCAACTTTGCTTTTGTGCAAGTGGTTTTTTCCATAAAATATATATTACATTAAAATAAGTTTATGCTGGTTTTCCATTTATTATAATATATAGTAATATTTTGTCTATGTGTATAAATAAAAATTATTCCAATCTACTTCACAATGACATATTTTTCTTGACAGTCACTATGTGATATATAGGAAGCTGTTAAGATAGTCATTAAAAATACATCCTTTTTTAGTACAGTCGATTTATTCCTTTTACAAAAAGGGTTTGATTTTCCACTAATGTCTATGGATTTACAAAAGTAAAGCTTTTTTAAATAGAACTCCATCATTCTTTTCTATTTGTTAATAAAAATCTCCACATACACATAAATCACAATCTAATAATTTGTGTGTCAAGTTCTCAAACTTTCAAATTCTAACAGATTTACATCTAACAAACAATTTTTTTAAAATCTTTTTAAAGAAAATTGGAATTTCCTTTCCAGAGACACAATAGCTCCTCAAGCAGTCCATTGTGTTTCACTTCACATCTTGTCCTGAACAAGTCACTGATATCGCTTCCAATGCGACCCTGACCTTTGCAACAGTGAAAAACATGGAGCAGTGCTAAGAACTGTTAAATACATTGCACCGTCAGTGAAATAAGTTACAAGTACTGCAACAAAAGAGAATTCTTTTTGTGGAGAGTCAAAGAAATGAATTCTTGTGGACAAACTGAGGATAAAAAAAAAAATAATCCTTAAATAAGACCTTTACCAACTTGTTAAGTGCTACATCAACAAAAACTATTTTGTAAATAAAGCTTTCATCTTAAAGAATGATCATCATGTTGCATTTTCAGAAGAGACATTTATAATAATAATATTAAAAGACCAATCACTACATAGTCAGATGAACCTGCAGTGTAATTAATCTTCAAAAATATTTTGTCACATTCTATGACATGTAAAATTTACCAAACATTTTTCAAATATATTAACATACTTAAGCTCCAGTTAATTCTCTCATTAGTTCTATTAATATTCTCACTATAGCAAAGAAAGCCATTTGTTATTTGTAATTTTAAATTAACAAATAAAAGAACTATGTTTTGCATCATATTTGTATTTAATCTCTCAGCCTTTCCAACATCATTCACCAATTTTTCTGGATTTCCTTCTGTATCACTTGGTTGACTACTCCAAAAGGTTTTACTAAGGAAAGTACAAACACAATTTGGAATTGATTAAAAAGAAGAGTTTGCATTTTTGTGGTGAAGTAATGGGGCACCAGTTGTACACTCACCGGTTGCAGAAATCATGATGAGGCATAGAAAATCTAAAACTTGTTTTGTTTTTTTAAAACATTCTCTTAACATCTATTACTACTGGTATCCATTTTAATTATAAATAACTTCACTTGTTCCTTACTCTGTATTATTCAGAAAGACTATTTGGATTATTTATTTTCAGAAATACTTATTTTTGATGTACATGGAAATTCTGGTTCGCTAAGGCAGTAAGTACTCAGTACATTCAAGAGCTATAGGATGAAAGAAGTGTGCATAAGGAGAACGAGCAAGGTAAGATCAGAAAGGAAAACAGGATTTATATTAGTAGTCATTTTGTACCAAAATCTGACAGCAGAGAAGTTTTAATACCTATTTCTTACACAAAGCTTCATGAAGTAACAGTGAATAAGGAGACTTTCTACCTTTAAGAGTATCCAAATTAAAACCATAGCAAAGCATACCACTTTATGAGGCAAAATTCTTGATGAGAAGCCACTCAATGACCAAAAGCCCTTTTGCAATGTGCTCACCTGCATACACACAATTCCCCACTAGGCAAGAAACTCCATACAGGGAGCAATGATCAAAAAACTCCATTTGCAGCAGATTAACTCTATACAACAGACTCTAGAGGCTTAATGCTACAAACAATGGGAGGAAATATATGATTAATTCAATTAATTTGATAGGACACGAAGCTTATGATCGCTTGAAAAATAAACATAAGATTAAGAGCAACACGCATTTTAGAAATCGAAACTATCTAAATGCTCTCCATAACAAAGATGGACCTGTGTCTACCCTCTCCCTTCCCCATTTTCAGAGGGGCAAAAAAAGAAATCAGTTCGGCTGGCTCCTCAGGCAGTACTTTGACTTCAGCAGCTGATCTAGACCTTCATTAGTTATTTTCCCCTAAAGTAGTTCTCATAATTCCTTCTTAAAGAAAAGAGGTATTGGCTTATTTTACACTTAACTTCTACTTATTGCACCGGCCATTTCCATAATGATAACAGAGCCTGATCACTGGCTGTCTTTTGTGACATAGCAATAATGTGAAAGAGTCTTAAGGCCGCCTTAGGCAGCAATCTAGGGATATTAACATATATCAGGTGCCCTGGGCTCACCGCTTTAGAAGTCTGCAGTAATATCAGGTGAAGACAAAGCAATAGGCAGTTATGAGATAACTTGTCCCCAGGGAAAGTTTTTTTCCAGCTTTCAATAGATACTGGTTTGTGTCCGGGAAGAAAAGAATTATATTCCTTCCAAAAATCCATATATATTGTTTTCGTTATAATTTTTGCTTAGTATTATAACTCTATGCTTTTGTTATTCAAATGAATGGATGGCTCTGTTGTGAAAAAGCCAAGGTGCCAGTAATACCAAGGCTGTTGAGGGGCTTCTAGGTTTATACTATTATAATATGATGATTGCACCTGAGTTTCCCCAACTCTCTTTTGGATCTTATTATTTTTCATAGGAAGTTCAGAGATAAGACTCCAAGAGTGCCCAATCATCCTCATTGAAATGCTGAAAATGCAAAGCCATATAATACTGGAAGTCCAATATTATAATCAGTAATGAAATTTTAGCACTGCAGAGTTACCATAGGTGGTACTATGACAGCTGAAGAAAGCACACACGTCACTTTCTAATAGATGATTAGATGGATCCCTGAAATAGGTAAGATAGGGAAATAGTAGGTGCTGTCAATATAGCATTAAGGGTCAGGCAAGGTAAAATACATTACTGCATCATTTTAATTGGTTTTATACATCGTAATGTAAAAAGTTAATCCTTGAGCTTTCTGAGACTGTTAAGATATAGAAATTCAGACTACAACCCATGAAAAGTGTGCAGTTTTATCTTATATTAGTACCACTGGGAAGGGAATAAGATCATTAAGGACAAAATTAAGCTCAAAAGCTGGAACTTCATTCAAGGAATACAGGCTTTATTCTTTCTTTTCCAACTCCCACTGTATTTTACTTCATTTCCTTACCGTGGGTTTTCCTCTTCTAACCACTGACACATCTAGTCTAAATCTCCCCTCTTTCAATTAAAAACCATTACCCCTTGTAAAATAAAGAAAATAATTCAAAACCCAAGACCTCTGCTCATACCTTGTTGCAGATTGTGGAAAATAGGAAAAATTGGAATCGTCTAACTGAAGTCTGTCAGAGCTCTTTACACATAACTCTGTACATCAATGCATGATTTCTTTGGTAGCCACTGTCTTAAATCAATACTAACAGCATATATCAGTACCCTGAGAAAAAATAAGCTTGAGTATCTGAGGATAACATTTGTTGAGGACAGAATTATTTGTTTTTAACTAATCGAGAAAGGAGCTGCCAAGATTCTTTCTGTCTCTGTGCATATCGGTCTTGTGCTTCTCCTTACCCTCTATAGAACTAAAAAAAAAAAAAAATACATCAGCAAGCACATTCAGCTTGGAATCATTAAACATTTCCTGACACTACCAAGCAAGACAATTATTCTCTGGATTGTACAGTACAGTTCATGCAGCCCTCGGCTGTTCTGCGAGTTTCTCTTACACAAGTATAATTACTTCAGGGGGACTGAGTACATGGAACTAATTGATGTCTAACATTTAAGAAATGTAACACAATTTTATGCCTGTGTAAAAATGTCAAAAGTAATTCATAGGATTTGAAGAAATTTCACTGTTGGCATAATCAATAGCTACACGTGGGAAATTATCCTAAATAAGAGTGCCACGTCTAATATAAAACTCTTACCAAAAAAGTCAACTTTGTGGGTGATATTGATAGAGCTACCTGGTGACAGATGAGAGCACAACAGAGATACAGAAAAAACCCTACCTTTCAAGAAAACATGAGCATGCTTGTTGATAAGTTAAAATTATTTTTGCTTCTCTCTGTTCTTTTCAATATAGAAATCACATGAAAAGA